CCGAACGTCCGAACGCGTCGAGAGGGGGTCCCAAACGTTCAGGCGTTCGGGTTCGGGTGTTCGGCCCGTCCCGAACGCCGGCAACCCTGTATATATATATATATATATATATATATATATATATATATATATATATTCTTATCGTTCTTTGAATTATCCAACTGCAGACATGCCATAATTACCTTCATAATAAAATGGGAGGGAAGTTTATCCATGATGGCCGATCGGATGAGCGTTTTTACTATGGTTGACGACATTGGAGATTCGAACGATGGTAATAACACCATATTGATAGATGCATCCGGTACCATCCAGACAATGAAGTACACAACGTTCCTGACCACGGTGTAAAGAGCGACATGGTTTTCAGTTCAAATTTGACATGTCATCCCCGACTGAAGGCAACAAATGGTTGCCTCTGGTTGTCTTCGAACAACGTATTCTGACGTCCCGTAGGTTTTTAAAGGTCTATGAAAATGAAGACTTTGAGAGTTATTCCCGTACTTTTAGGGTTTGCAACTCTACATTCTTCTCCGTACCCAATTTCATTTGCTTAATAGGAGTACCTCGTTGTTGTCTGCTTTGTGATCCTTTCTTCTTTACTCCTCGTTGTGTACCTTCATTGATTCCTCAGTCGATGTCCTCCTCCCATATACTATTATGCGGTTCCTTTTACCCTTGATCCCCCTTGTTAGGAAAAATCCAATCGGTCTCGATGTCACCGTATCTCAATATTTGTTAACGTCCCCCCTCTGACTACCATAGTTATTGTTTCTACTCCGACTGCTTCCACATCGCCACCTATTGGGTATTTGTATCATTCTTGAAACCCTCCTCATGGAATAGATGAAGCTTCTGTGTGAAGCGAGCAGGGGATTACATAGCCCACTTGACCTGCTGCTTGCAACATATATATATTTTTATAATTAAATAACCATTCATAATAAAATTATATTCTAAATGTTATTTTTTTGTTCAATCTTAAAAAATACTATTTCACTTTTAAAATTTTATCTCAATAAAAATCTTTCCTTGCAAGAATCATACATCCCTTCTTGTGTTGAACTGTATGCTACAGATATAATTAAAGTCTGAAAGAGTTCATAAAATGTTTTAATTTGACTATCATTCTATTGTAAGAAGTTTCAGTCATAAATAGATGAATTAAATCTTAATTATAAGTTATTTATTGTAGAAAAATAAAAATTTAATTAAAATATTTCATAAACTTGTCCAAGATTTTCATTTCATATTCAATAAATAAATATAGTTGTAAGATCAAACTCATTTTTAGACGAAAATTTATCAAATAAAATATAAAATTTGAAAGCTGCAAAAACTTTTATATTATAATTTTAAATTTGAAAGATTTTTTTTTAACAATGAAATATTTTTCTTCCTTCATTTTTTGTGCAATTTTTTTTTTTGTGCTTAAAAAACTCTTTCACTGGTCATGGGTCGAAGATTGAGTAGCTGCTCGACATTCCCTGTGGATTACCACCTTGAGACATATTTTTTATATGAAAAAATATCTTTCATGATATCTTGGAGAGAACGTCGGATTGTAAGCGTTGTTGCACGCCCCACTCCCTTGATGATTACCTGTTATGCCTTATCACAGGTATGGGCCGCTCGACTGCGGTCCCAGGGGTCCTTGATACTATGGTTGTGCAAATGATGTTTCTGAAGTGTCAGCTTGAGGCAAACCTCCCTGTGAAGTATTGTCCTGTTGGTGCTAGCGTTTTTTTTTTTTTTCACCGTGTTTATTCGTGGAAGAAAGTGTAAGTATAATGTCAACTTCGAGGTGTCTCGAAGAATGAGAGGTTGACTGACAATTTTCTCTTTTATTTTCAGTCGAGTGGAATAACCAATATCAGACTTCAAGTAAATTAGTGATATCATGAACCCATTTAGCTCTGTCGGGTAAGAGTGTAGTACTATATCAATCGCTTATCATGATGTATAGAGGAACCTAAACGAAAATGACCCCGAATGTCGTCTCCTCTTCCCCGCGTCATTGTTCTCGTAGTTAGGCAATGTGGCGGACCCGCCAGGATGACGGTCTGTCGGGATCAAGATGAAGGGATGAGGATGAGGGAGATGGAGATCGAGTTGGAAGGGACAGCGTAACTCCAACACAGACTCAACACGCACATACTCAAAATTGTGCAAATGAAGACTGAGACTGAAACAAACCGCAACTGGGGTATACCCCCAGCGGACTGACTGGACTGACTTGACTGGACTTGAATGACCCGGTACTGACAGTGGTATCAGGCCTGATTGGACTGGACTGAATGAGCACACGTCCTGTGGGGTCAGACCACAGTCTGGTCCCACATGCCGAATAGACAAAATAGTCAAATAACCCTGACTCTAGGTAAGGTAACTAGAGACACGTTGCACGATCCTCATACCTGTAGTAGATCGCAAAAACCATAAATACGCTTCCGCAAAACCAGCGAAACTTTGCAACAATAAAGATGAAAAATCTAAGATGCGGAGCAAACTCCATGCAGAGTCCATGCGATGCAGCCTATGCTACATAATGTAAGAGAAAAAACAAATGTTTGATATACACATCCTAACTAAGAACAAAAAATGAAATGTAGCAGGGTACAAATTTAAAGTCTTAGAGACAATTGCCTTAGTGTTGAAAGGAAAATGTAATAATATGTCACAAAATAATGTCGTGTCGCTGAACCACTACGAGTGAGATGGTCTCAGAGGAATGCAGCCTAAGAATAGAAACACCTAAGGGCATTCACACACGAAGATGGGATATGTCATCAGACTCAGGGCGAGGGAATGGTAGTGAAACAAAACCAATGACCCTAACAGATAGACCATTAAGGTGGGTAATGGTCGAAAAAAGGATAACACCATGCATGGTCGACCATGAGAGGGGAGTCTGAGATAGGGTGTGGATATGCCTAATTGAAGACGTGTAGTGACTGACACTAGGGTGATGAGGGTAGTGGGTGAGAGAAACATGCACACAACTCACCGATTAGGGAGGAAGTCAGATCTTGGAGCAGGGAAACCAAAATAACGCTATGGTCCCAATGCCCATGCGATACAAAGGGAGAGTCAAACTCAGGGAAAACCAACTAGGTGAGAATCATCATGAGACACATACAAAAGAATGGCACAAGGTAGGGTGGTGGCGTGAAGCAATCGCGTCCAAAGTAGTTGAAGCTGATGAAGTAGCTGAAGTCGAGAAGGTGGTTGAAGTGGTTAAGGTGGTCGATGACGTCGATGAAATATGAGTCGAGTCGATGTTGAAGCAGAGCCGTAAAACGTTGATATCATGAACAAGCTGATGATTAAGGATATGATAGTGTGAGTTAGTGAGAGGGGATAGGTAAGTGATGAGAGTGTCAGACGCCGAGGGCGTCGACGAGTGCGCAATGGACACCCGGAGGCATCCATCTGCTGCTGAAGAACGACCTCAGAGTGAGCGGCCCCCTACCGGTACCGATTCCAAATTTCCAATATGCCTCGGTAGCTCCCCTCCCCTCCCAGGACCAGGGGAACGGCCACGAGTGCCACCAATGGCCACAGGGGCATGCAGGAAACTTCAGAGGCCCCAGGGGCACAACAAGGAAAGTCGGCCGTTGGAGAGGCATATACCGGAGCAACATTTTGAAAGGTATTCCGCAAGCCATGCCTGCCTGGTCCCGATGAATTGCCGCCCCCAGCAAATTCACCACCCTTCCAACTATCGTCAGAACGAACTACGAGGAAATTGACTGGGGGTATAAAACACATCGGTGTCGGGCTGCCAACAGGTAGCACTTTTCCAAATGTATCCGAGTGCGATGACGGCAGGACCTGAATGCATCTGCCTGCTGCGATGTCCAGAGCTGAGTCGAAAGAATCCTTCCGTGAGTACGCCTTGGTGGTACAACCTTGAACTGTTGAAATATTGGGCCTGGGTCCACTACAAACACTCTACACGAAATTGGACCCTTCTCGGACCAAGTGCATTCGGACCAGTCCAATGTTTTGAATGTACGGAGTCCAGAAGAGCATTCAGATGCATGTGTTCTTTTTGTTGTCTGGTGCAGCGAATTGGGCCTGGTCAGCTCGACGATATAATAATATCTCAAGGAGCAAAGTCATGTAGCAAAGACGATTGGATGAAGCGTCAGAATGTGGACGTGTTCTACCCAGAGATGCAAGAACCCAGAGATGCAAGAAAGTAGAACACGAACAGGCGTCGAATCCAATCCTCTCTTTCCTTGCTAGTGGGACCTCGCCCAAGGCCGTCGCGCTTTTTGATATGACTGAAAAAACAAAAGGACCGCGGACGGACAAAAGACGATGCCAGCCACGGAAAGACGGAAGATCACGGATACCGTTGTCCGTCTGTCTGTCTGGTGCCGCGTGGAGCCACGTGGGCACGTGAACTTCTGGACACGTGGAACGCCAGCAGGTCAGCCACGTAAGCATCTGTTAATGACAGGTCATCACGACGGCATGGTGAAAGAGGAGACGAGGCTGACAACCGTCAAGCCAGAGGTGGACTCGAACCACTGACACAAGGATTAGATAAAGACGTCAACACGATGACGGGCGGCAATCGCAGACGAGAGGTTGGGGTGCTTCGGCTTCTTCATCCTCGTGGTTTCCATCTGCCTACTCTCCTCCTCCTATTTCTCCTCCTCGTGTGTCTCCTTCTTCTTCTTCCTCCTCCTCCTCCTCCTCTTCTCCTCTCCTCTTCTCCTCCTGCTCTCTTTCTTCAAGTGGATGAGAATGAGGCTGGAAGATGGAGGGTGCTTGGGGGTCTTTCTTCATCTTCTCCTTCCTCTTTTGCCCTCCTTGTCATTCTTCGTTGTTGTCTTTTTTCTTCATGTTGTTCTACTTCTCTGCATCAGGCTTCTGAACCAGAAGCAGGAAGAATCATTTAAAAAAGAGGAAGAATCATGAAAAAAAGAGGAAGGATCAGGAGGGATCATCAGGAGGAGGACTTAGGAAGAATAAGGAAGATTCAGGAAGAAAACGAATATCGAATTGCAAGGTCAAATGCAACAACATGAGATTGCGTCCAAACGAAACAAAAACCGAAACAAAAACCGAAACAAAAACCGAAACAAAAACGAAACAAAAAAAGCAGTAAAGACGACACTGCACGAAGCTCCTGCATGTCCAAACTGGAAAGGACGCGTTCTGGCTGGTAGCGCACGGGGCTGCTCAGGGGGCTCGGCCATCTGATCACCGAGCTGGTCGTGCGGCTTCCACTTTAAGCGAAGAAGAAGAAAACGAAGAAGCGAAGAAGAAGAAAACGAAGAAGAGAAGAAGACCAAGAAGACGAAGAAGAAGAAACCGAAGAAGAAGAAACCGAAGAAGAGAAGACGACGACGAAGAAGAGAAGAAGACGAAGAAGAAATAGCAATGGCCAACTCTTGCTCTTGAACACGAAATAAACTGTTAGAAACTTTCACATTCCACGTGTTCTTTGATCTAAGAACGCGCATGCTCCAGCAGCAGCAGCAGCAGCAGCAGCAGCAGCAGCAGCAGCAGAAGAAGAAGAAGAAGAAGAAGAAGAAGAAGAACAGAGATAAACAGAGAGGCCATAAACTGTCTTTCGTGCACGCTAGCTGCAGCAGCAGCAGCAGCAGACGAAGAATAAGAAGAAGAGGGAGAAGAAGAGGAAGAAGAATAGTGATAAACAGAGGCCATAAACTGTCTTTCGTGCACGTTTCGGTATATGTATTCTGTGTACAACAACCTCATGGATTGTGCTCAGAGAGACACGCTCATTGCCCTGAGAGCGCGTTTCGCCAACTCTTGCTCTGGAACACGAACTGGACTGATAAAGACTTTTTCACATTCCACGTGTTCTCTGAAGTTCAACTCTCATGGCAACCGGATGCACGGTAGGACCATCTGCGCTAAGGATGTCATCCTCAGGGGGGTTTCCAGGTTCCAAGCCTCGCGGCTTGCCCCCTCTCAATCCGTCACTGATGTTGCAGGCCGATGTAGGAGGCCGATGCGGCCATGCCCAAGAATAAGAAGGACAAGAAAAAAAAAAAAAAAAAAAAAGAAGGACAAGAAGAAGAATCGTGGTAAAGCAGTGCCCATAGACTGCTTCTCGCACGTGCTTCAACAGACAATCATTACATCTCCGCATGCACGTAGTTCTCAGTCGAAAGAAGAAGAAGAAGAAGAAGAAGGAGGAGGAGGAGGAGGAGGAGGAGGGAGGAGGAGGAGGAGGAAGAGGAGGAGAGGACGAAGAAGAAGATCAAGAGTAAAAAGCGCTCGCTATGTATATATCCATTTCTGATACAAGTTGGACGCTTGTCACGTGTTCCTGCAGGAGGCGGAGATCGGTTCGATCACCATCTGAAGATGGCTATGGCGCCGCCGGCTATGGCAGTCGCAAGAGATCTGCACGGAGAAGAGCACATGGCGCTCCCATGTAGTAATTCCATCTTGGGAAATGCGGAGTAAAGCCGGGGCCATTTCATGTTCATGTTTGGTGTCTCTCACACAATACGCTCATCCAGTTTATGATTTCGACGATCGTGACAAAAAAGGGCCAATGCCAATGACATGGCATTTGGACACAGAGCCATGTCGGCTATGGTAGCCCGACACAGCTGCAGGCTCCAGCAGCAGCTGGTCTCTGTTGCTACCGCGGCATTCATCGAGCGAGTGTGGTTGGCTGCTGCTGCCCCTCTGCCGTAAGAAGAAGAAGGAAAAAAAAGCGCGAGATGGCTGCCACGTGTCGGACGCCCGCTGCATCTGATGTCTGTGGCGGACGGATACCAGTTAATCGGGAGTCTGGACAGCGATCGGGATCGCGTCAGGAAGGTTGTACGTTCACGGGATGTGTGCCGGGATCGCGTCCTCGTTGCGGCCGTCAAGAAGAAGGAGACTGGAGACGGGGAGCAATCGGGATCGCGTCGTCAGAGAAACCATCCCGGCAGAGACGCACGGTGATGACCCCTGCCGCAAGAATCACGGCACATTGTCGTCGCTGCTTCGCCCAACGGGAGCTGGATGTCAGCCGTCGCAGGAGGGCGACCCGGATCTCTTCGGTGTCCCGACCGGGACTGGAGGAAAACGATCGCGACCTTATCCACAACCTTATCCATACCGTAATTAGCGGTCCACGTCGGGACGGAAGAAGATCTCTGACACGTGATGAGACAGTCACGCACCGCCACCTCCATTCCGTTTGCCATGAGAGGGAGAACGAGAGGGTTGGGATGGGTAGGAGCAGTCTGTGCTACGGCCTCAGGGAGGGAGAGAGACAGAGGGTTGTGGAAAAGAGCACAGAGACAAGGCAAATTCTGCGAGCATTGCCCTCATCGCCCTCAACGCCCTCAACGCCCTCAACGCCCTCATCGCCCACATCGCCCACATCGCCCATGACTGGCGGTAATGACAATACAATCGAGTACGTCGGTTCCAAGCAGCGCCAGCAGCTGGTTAGCTCTTTCTTGCTGCTCCTTCCCGTCGCTTGCTTGTCCTCCCTTGATTCTCCTCCTTTCTCTTAGCTACTTCCCTGCACTATACTATCGGTGTGGGTTTGTGAGGGAAGAACAACTCCACAACGAAGAGGAAGATTCGAACAAGAAAAGGTTTTCGTGTGTATATGCATGCTTGCTCGGTGTTTTCTCTGTATGTTCTACATTGGGCACACACACACACACACACACGCACACACGCACACGCACACGCACACGCACACGCACACGCACACACTAAAGGAAAAAAAGGAAAAAGAAGCTGGGGCATGCATGCAGCATGCAGTTGTGGTAATGGAATCGACGTACAGTCATGCTTGTCTTGGTGGAGTTGTGTATAACAAACATGACCACACACACACAAAAAAAAAAAAAGAAAAAAAAGAAGAAAAAAAAAAAGAAAAAGAAGCTGGGCATGCATGCAGCATGCAGTTGTGGTGATGGAATCGACGTACAGTCATGCTTGTCTTGGTGGAGTTGTGTATAACAAACATGACCACACACACAAAAAAAAAAAGAAAAAAAAAAGAAAAAAGAAGAAGCTGGGCATGCATGCAGCATGCAGTTGTGGTGATGGAATCGACGTACAGTCATGCTTGTCTTGGTGGAGTTGTGTATAACACACACACACATGCACACACACACACACACACACACACACACACACACACACACACACGTGGACACATACAAAATTAAAGCCGGGCATGCATGCAGCAAACCGTCGAGGTGATGGAGTAGACGTGAGAATGGACGGCATACTCACACCAGGACTTTTTTTCAGCTTATCTGTGGACGTGATTGCAGTCAGGTGCATGCAGCGCGCGTCCTCGGCCATAGCCCGCATGCTGCTCTCTGAATTCCCGAACGCTTCTTCTTCTTTTTTTTTTTTTTTTTTTTTTATCATTCTGCTGCTGAGCCAGGGGGTGGTGAAGCCGATTGTCGTGATTCTGCTGCTGCTGCTGCTGACGTGGCATCAGATCGCCGGAGGAATGATACAGCTCCTCCCGCTTTTCTGATGGAATTGTACTCAGCAGATGCTGACGTGGCAGATGGCCCGTCAGTGGATATATAGGGGTAAAGGTAACAACCCCCACGACGACAAGTGGGTCAGATGTAGCTGAACTGGCAGGAGATGCACGGGGTACCGTCTTTTCCCCGAACATAACGCCCATGCGTCGTATTCGAGTTTTCAAACGATTTGGGAAAAAAATCGAATTGAACGCACATGTGTTGTACGCGAGAATAAGGGCTGTTCGAATAGAACATACAGGCCTTGTATTCGAATAGAAAGCAACCTATACCTTGTATTCGTTTACAACGCATAGGTGGTTCGAATAGAACATACAGGCCTTRTATTCGAATAGAAAGCAACCTATACCTTGTATTCGTTTACAACGCATAGGTGTTATGTTCGGGGGTAGACGGTAGTCATCAAACTTCGCTAAAGGTGTTGTTTCTGTTCATTCCAAGCATTCACAGATCGTCGTCCTCCTCCTCCTCTTCCTCCTCCTCCTCCTCCTCTTCCTCCTCCTCTTCCTCCTCCTTTTCCTCCTCCTCCTCTTCCTCCTCCTTCTCTTCCTCCTCTTCCTCCTCCTTCTCTTCCTCCTTCTCTTCCTCCTTCTCTTCCTCCTCGTACTCTCCTCCCGGCCCCGTCATCTGTAATTTTTTAACAATCCTCTTCCTCCCTTCTCCGCTTCCTCCTCCTCCTCCTCCTCCTCCTCCTCTTCCATCCCTCCCTCCTTGTCCTCCGCCCTCGTCTCCGCCTCCTTCTCCCCCTCCACCTTTTCGTCCAAAAAAAAAGGAAACAGCTGCCACGTGGCGAATCGCTTAAGCAAACACTTGCCACGTAGCACACGTGCAAAAGTTGTCGATTGGCTTTCTGGCCTCTCGCTCGAGCTGCCACGTGGCAAATTGTGTAGGTAACCAGTTGCTGACAAAAGAAAAGAAAAAAAAAGGAAAAAAAAATAAAATTGCGCAAAGGACCCCCGGTACCCCGAGAGGGTGGCCGGGCGGATTTGTCTGCCCGGTGGTGCGCCCGGACAAACAGTCTAGTTCTTTTTTTTTTTTTTTTTTTGTGGGGGGGGGGAACCTAGTTCAATGTTATGTTATACAGGGAAAAAGAAAGGCGAATTTTAAGCCTCGTTTAATCTTTGTCCTTGCGAAGATAGCTTGAGATTGTCTTCCCTTCACGACTCTCTGGTGATGTGCGTTTGCATGCATGCTTGCTTGCTTTTTTTTTTTTTTTTTTGGCTGATTGCCACGGATTGGTACTTTTTCAAGTTTCAAACTTTTTTCTTTTTCTGTTTTCCTTTTTTTTTTTGTTTTTGGTCGTCTTTGGTGGTGTTGCATGGGTGTGGTTGGTCACAGGAATTGGTGCGTGTGGAGGAATCGGGATCGAGATCGGGATTGAGATCGGGATCGAGATCGGGATCGTCTCGTACCTCATCCACTGGAGTCGAACGGGCACGACGACGGCTGATGCAGATCGTAAGGGAAAATCCCCAAAACGGAAAGGCTTGGTTTGACTGGGCGATGCTGGAGCAGCGGCAGGGAAATCACGACAAAGCTCGGTCTCTGTTCGCCCAAGGAGCATCTGCGGACCCCTTTTCCGTGCAAAACTGGCAGGTTAACTTCTTTCTTTCTTTCTTTCTTCCTTCCGTTTTTTCGTTTTTTGTTTTGTTTTTTGAAAAAATTCGACCATTTGTCGACTTACGTGTGTCATCCTTGAAAGCGCAGGGGCAATTTTTCTAATTACCCTTCTTCTTTGTATCGTCTTCCAATGTTAACGAATGCGGCAAACGACTGGCAGGTACACTTTTTTTTTTTTTTTTCGTTTCTTTTTAATGTTCTTGAAGCGCGTATGGCTATGGCAGATAAACTAGACATCTATTGTTTGCTACTACCGTTAGTAGAGTGTCCAGAGATTTAGATTGATCAGCACCATAGCCCAGCAGGGAGTGGCACTACAGCCTGGAGGAGAGAGAAGAAGAAGACATCTGTCCAGAGATTTCGATTGATCAGCACCATAGCCGAGCAGGGAGTGACACTACAGAGAGAAGGCTGTCTCTTATACACATCTAGATGTGTATAAGAGACAGGAGAGAGAGAGAGAGAGAGAGAGAGAGAGAGAGAGAGAGAGAGAGAGAGAGAGAGAGAGAGAGAGAGCAGTTTCAGCGCTTTTGAATTCCACTCTATAGACTATCATCTTCCCCTCACCACAATGCACCCTAATCATGAATGTATACAAGCAAGATTTCTGATTTGTGTCTTACTCTCTTTTCTTTCGTGTTTTTTTTTTTTTGTGTGTGTGTGTGTGTTTTTGTGTCTGCCCTGGGAGGGGGAGCGGGCCGGGTGGGGGTTGGGAGGGTGCACATGTGTGTTTGGCCAAAGGCTGGCCACAACACTTGGGCATTGGCATCGAGGGTGATGTAGAGAACTGTGTAGTCCTCTTTTGCTCCGAGGAGTGGGCTGTGTTCGAACCCAGCTTTTGCTTTTTTTTTTTTTTTTTTTTTTTCTTTCTGTGTGGCTTATTTACGCAGGCATTCCACCTTAAACCCCCAGTACCTACCACATTTTTCATACGGGTTCGAATGAATTTGGACCGGAGGGGTGGGCCGATTCAGCTACCGCGGTAACGGCCGCCCCAACCGGTAGGTACTGGTGGTTTGACGGTGACTACTGCTTGCTCATGGAATGGCATAGTCCCTTATCAGGCCCATGCATTCCCAATCCGCAAAAAAGAGGGGGTCTCACCTGGACGTAATCTTTGCTTTCTCTGTGCTGTGTCGTGTATGCAGGCATGGGCTGTGTTCGAATCGAAATTTGGAGACGAGGAAGATGCAAGAAAGCTCTTTTCACATGCCACGTCAATCTGCCAAGACGATATCCCTTCATGGGTGGTTAGTTATTAAAAAAAAAAAAAAAAAAAAAAGTTCAGGCTCCAGTTTCCCCCCTCATCTGTGGATGGTAGAAAAACTTTCACCCCCTACAGTAGCTACCATCTTCCCCCGAACATAACACATATGCTTTGTAAACGGATGCACGAAACACAGAGGTTGCTTTCTATTCGAAAATATGTACTCAGGCCTTGTACACACGGCCCGTCACACCATGGGAATTTCTTGTGCCGGTAATTGTCTCTATTATGATAAACCAATGACTTTGATACGTTACGCACGGCAAGTCAAGTGTGCAGCATGTTTAACAACGAATGCACGAAATACATAGGTTGCTTTCTATTCGAAAATATGTACTGAACCCGCGGGCAGTTGGCCCGCCTTGGAGTGACCAGGTTAAGTAGCGGTGGTGGGGCTGCGTGTTGTCCGAGCGGAGTGTGTTGATTGCGGGGCTGCATGTTGTCCGAGCGGAGTGTGTTGATTGCGGGGCTGCATGTTGTCCGAGCGGAGTGTGTTGATTGCGGTGTCCGTGGTGTCGTGTTGTGTGTGTGTGGTGTGAGTTCAAGGACGCTACAGCCCTGGAGGTGGGCTGGATATCATGACCGGAATGGATCCAGTTTTTATAACACCTCCAAGGGTTGTAGTGGTTACGAGACTTCATTCGTGAGGCTGAGGGTGCCGGTTCGAGGCCGTGCGTGCACGGCGGGGCCTGATGCCCTAAAATACACGTTGTTCAGTAACTACTTGTACACACCGCCCGTCACACCATGGGAATTTCTTTTGCCCGTAATCGTCTCTATTATGATAAACCAATGACTTTGATACGTTACGCACGGCAAGTCAAGTGCGCAGCATGTTTTACGCATCGTTGATCGTAGAGACTATCACGGTAGAATCAGTGACTGAGGTGAAATCGTAACAAGGTAGCCATAGTTATAATAAGACCAATAGAAACTTCATTAGAGACTTCAAAAAGAACTTCATTATAGACTTCATTAGAGACTTCACAGGAAACTTCATTAGAGACTTCACAGGAAACTTCATTAGAGACTTCACTAGAGACTTCATTAGAGACTTCATTAGAGACTTCATAAGAGACTTCTTAAGAAACCATTTGAGCAGCAGGAAGATCGTAGTGCTCCTAGAAAAGCATATTTGGAATTACTAGACCAACCTGCTGT